ATTATTTTGAGACATTGTATACCTGGAAAGTCCTAAAACAGGCTGGGAAACGACAAAAAGACCACTTGTTTTGACCCAAATCTTTGTATTAATAAAAAAATCAAGCAAATATCTTCACATGTTAACAGATTTAGTACAAGTTTTGGAAAGTCGGATATGACAAATCCTGTGAGACAACTCCACTCGGATTCACTCCGAGGGAGGAGTTGATCGGAATGATAACTCCGGAATGAGTTTACCCCTCTCTAGAAGGTATTTATCCAAATCATCTTAACATTCAAAAATTAAGCCTCTCAATAAGAAGGGAGCACTATAGATTTAATAATTACAGATTAATTTCATTATTAAATAATTTTGCAAAAATATTACATAATCGTCTACAGCTAACGGTATTTTATTCAAAAATCTACTGTTAACAGTATTTCATTGAATTATATTCCCGGATTTGATATGAAACTCAGTTCTATAACAGTCAGCATGCTATCAAATTTATATATATATGTAAAAAAATGAGTCAAATATACTATTAGTATAGTCAGTCGCAACTAGGATAGGGCAACCTCTCGTACATAAAATTTATTTGATGATTTTATTGAATGATTTGTACTTTGTGTAAATGATTTAAACTTTAAAATCAGTTCTGACTTACTCAATTCAGCAGGTGTACCACCAACCACTTTCGGATGGGTGGCATTACTGAATCCACAGCCATTTTCTTTAGTTAACAGACCTTTTGTTATTGGCACGGGCTTGCTAGTAGTTGGTGTTGCAACTAGAGCGCAGCAAACCATATATATATATAACCATATTAAAATTATTTATAAAATATAAAATAAAATTTACAACTAGTTCTCAGAAAAAAGAGAATGATATATTTCATAAAAGGTAAAATGATAAAAATTTTGTTTTAGATTATAAGTTTTTGATAATAATATAAACTAGTGGGGTGCATGGCATCGCGCCTTGCTGAGGCAAATTGCTCAAAACTTCCCGTCCGTAATTAAAAATCTTGGTACGAAACCCAAAAAAATTTACACAAAAATGTGTACACATTATGAAAATCTCTATAAAATATCTAATAATTTGATTTCCATATATCCAATAAACATTTTTGACCGCCAAATAACAATTTTTAAACTTCCGTAGGGAAGTTATTGTAATGGGCCGAAAATCGGAATTGAAAATTTTTACATTTCTCGACGTTTTGAAGGTTTCTGAAACGTTTTGGCATACCTCAGAAAAAATGGATGTGTTGTGTGTGTTTGTGTGTGTGTGTGTGTGTGTGTGTGTGTTGGGTATGTACAAAAAATGGCAGTTTTTGAGAGAAACTAAGCGTCCGATTCAATTGATTCAAAGAACTTTCTGCTTGTCTTAAACAAAATAATTGATTTGGAAAAAAAAATTTGTACCTTTTTTTTTTTTTTTTTTTTTTTTAATTTTTGTATATCGAAAATAATTCAGATTTTATTTTTAATTCTGACTATAATTCTAATATACTTTAAACAAATAATTTCAACTCTGCAATTCAGTTTATATAATTATTATAAATATTAGACAATAATAAATATTTATAATAATCTATTTGAAAACATTCAATATTCCTCGAACGTTTCGTTACGGTACGGGAAGTTCCAGCAATTTGCCTTAAGGCACGATGCCACCCACCCCACTAGTTTAACTTATTTTATTGAGAGTCCATAATCGATCATCTTGTCAATCCAAGTAAAATGTTTTGAAATTATTAAAATTGGATGCTCCGTTCTCTTAAAAAGTGAGTTACCGTTATTGCCCCGCATCTTCGGAACGGCTAGACCTGCCTTCGCCAAAAACCTACGCACGTCTTCTTATCAATACGAATCGAATATGTTTTTTGAATGGTTTACAAATTTTGAAATTTGTATTCACACATAAACACACATGCATCAATTTTTTTAAGTTATGCCAAACTGAAACCTCTGAAACGTAAAGATATATGAAAAATTCATTTTCGATTTTTTTGCGATTACTATAACTTACCCTACAACCATATACTTGTTTATCTATGCCTACAGCAAAGCATTCTTCTCAGAAAGCATCAAACCCATATATAATCTTGTAAAAATATAAATATGAATATAACGATCTGAGTACTCTTATAAACGGTGTTCAATCAAGTTTCGGCTATCACAACTAATTTAAAATTAGAATGACAGTCCATTATTTATCTCGCTGAAACTTTTGCTATCCAACTGTACTTCTTTTCTTATCTATTTTTATTTAAGAAGAAGAAACATAAAAATTGAAAAGATGTTTGGCAGCGTTTTTGGAATGCAATCAATATAATATAATATATCATGTTTAAAGAGAGACCTCTCAGAAAGCATCACACCCATGACCAAAATCCGCGAGGGATTTTGGCGAACGGTCATCGATGATGATCAAACTCCAAATGAAGTTCGATCACCTTCCTCACGCTCAGGGTGCGATGCTACGACTCATCGTCGAGGTCGCATCAACTCCACGTTTGAGTGAAGAGATTGTGAAGACATACTACAGAAATGATCCTGTGAAGTATGATCTTGACGAAACGACGTTTCGACCGAGACAAGCAAATTCCTTTCAGGTTTGTGCAGCAATCACAGGTTGGCGTGACGCGGTGATGCGGTGACATCTAACATCTAACATTCCATTTCCAAGTTTTGCTTATAGAAGCAGCGTTGGGCGTACATAAGTACATGATAGAACATTATAATATGTATATGATTTTTTCTAATTCAGTATTTGTCATATTTTCGAAAATTTTGTTTATACCTAGCTAAT